CCAAGCAACGAGGGGACGGAGAGTTCACAGGTCTACAGAAATTATTATAAATAAAAGTGATAAAATTGAATGAAATTACTTTTAAATAAACGCTTTGATGCTTATTTGTAAATACAGCACCTAAATTTATTACTTTCTAACTTTGCTGTTTCATACCGTGCTCGGTTTGGACTGTACTGGCTTGAAAATCTCTATAATATAATACTTATTAAGATAAGTTAGGATTTATATCTATTAGAAATACGAGCAATGAACCTGTTAGGCCTGTTACCCACCTTTTCATAGACATTTAACAAAAGTAGAAAAACAAATAGAGTGGAGAATCAGAAGTAAAAATAAATAACTGGATGGACTGTTTACTTTAAATTCACACTTTGTAGGGAAACGTTAATTAGGTTTGTAAAAAAATGTATGTATCGTGTAAAATTACTTAAACGTAGCCAGTGTTATTTAATATTTAAGTAGACCCTTTGTTGACCGACGGTACTTTTGAGTACCACCACCTCAAAAGTGTATCAATAATTCGTTAATGTATATATTTGGTTTCTCGCCCGACGGCACTTTCCAGTAACACCATAACTATGTGTAAAACAAATAATATTGTAGTTTGACTGTTAAATAACTATTTTTCGATGGATTCTTTGAGTAACCCACATTGTCTAAAGCGCATTGTGTTGTTATTTTTATTTACGGCTACAGGCTTTCTAAACAAAATGTAAAACGATAAGATTATTGGGTTATGCATATTTATTCTGTTTTCCAAAGACTAACCAACCGTGGAATACATTGGCCATAATTCGTCGAAAATCGTGGACGGTGTGAAGTTTGTTCTTTTGCACACCAATTACAATCTAGACCTTTTTCCAAGTGTACTACTTGTAATGATAAAAAAAATTGTTTCGCAGAGTACCATCAAACTGATAGTGACAATTAAATTTTACATAAATCTTATTTTTGAGACATATTTATAACTAGGGAAGTCATGTGATTAATAAAAAGTATTAAAATAATTTACCATAAATATTATTATGTGTATTGTTTTTTGTTTTAAAAAATAATAAATGAATTTTTAAGTTACTTGCATCTCTTTTAAATTATTTAATGAAATTCAAAATAACTGACGTTGATAAAGACCAAGGGTACTTTTAAGTACCAGGAGAAAAACTTTAAGTTGACCGACGGTACTTCTACGTACCATGAACATAACTGAATATTGAGTGCTGAAAAAAAAAATTAGTTAAAATCTTTATTTAGGTTAACATAGTTATGCAAAAAAAAGTTAAAAAATTATTTTATTTTGATGCTTGGTCAACAAAGGGTTAATGGTAATGACAAATTATTTTAGAACAACATATTATTGTTGACTAAGAAAATACATTTTATATGTCTTATTATTCAGTAGCTTTAAACAGAAAAATAAGCATGGTCTACGCTGTTTTATTGTTCGAGACGATTAAATTAAAAAACGTCTGATTGAATAAGTTTTAAATTCAACAGAGCGATTTTATTTAGCTATCATTTTTATAACCCATTCGTTAGTGTAACTTCACCTTTTTTTTCCTTAATAAAATAAAAGTTTAAGTACAGATTTTTGAGAAAAATTTATATTTTGTAGTCTCATTCTAGTTCATCTATTTTCGGCCTAATATTCGCACCTTAAACCTTAAGACTTTTTGAATTTTCGGCTCAATAAAGTACTATTCAGATACGATTTCTGATCTATAGAATTTTTACACGAAGATATCGGTACAGCTTAAAAGATATCGTGGTGGATCCTAATAAAAACACATCATGATAAGAACAATACCTTTGAGGTTTGCATCGATGCTAATAATAAATGGGAATGATACGTTTTATTTTAGAGATCCTAAATTGTGTCAAATTTGTAGTTATAGTTGGTAAGAATTTGCAAACTTACACGATTACTTTAAACGGCTTATTGTGGGCCATCGGTGAACATATACAGAGTGGTTCCTTAAGGATAAAATGCTCGTTTTTCTTAAAATAGTTGCACAAAGAGTGCAGTATTCTTTGTATCTGTGAGCATTACTTAACCGCACACCATACCCGTCCTAAATTGTAATTTTAATAACTTTTGATTATTCAAAAGTGGCTAATCATCAGTCAAAATGTTTAGCCAATCATTCTTAGTTGAAAAAAAGATACTAAACATGTACGTTCTCACTTCATTTTCAAAAGTTGATAGTTCTTTGGACACAAAAAAAAAAATAATTATAAAAATGTCAATGCATTGTCTGATATTGTCAAATAACATAAAACTTAAATGTATCCAACAAAAAAAGAAAAATTACAAAATTGAAATTATTTCAATAGAAAACGAATGTTTTATCCTTGACATAATCACCTTGCATAAGAAACCTGCTCTAATTCAACAATAAGTTATTATATTATGTCTTTTTATGTATTTTTCTAAAGTATTTGAATACATAAATTATAAACGTTTTGGTTTATTTTTCATAGCTGATAATAATATTATTCGGGTTCAAAATATATTAAACATTTCGTTTTAGTTGGCACTTGGCAACTGGTTTTTTTATTTTTTGTGTTTTTCGGCGCGATATCACTCCAAAAACGTGTAAGCATATTTTTTTGTACTGAAGAACCGTTTTATTTTAAAACGTATTCCGTTTGGTTGTTTGGGTTTTTTATATGTTTGAACTATTTTCTTGCTCGGCAGTACTGTGTGTTTAGCGAATACCTATTTTGCACTCTTGTTTTTTACCACCGTTGAAGTATTTAGAACGATTCCATCTGTTATTATACACCCACCACCCCCAACCAAGACACACGGTGTAACTACATAGCAGTTAGCGTTTTTAGTTTTAGCTAAAATCCCCGTTTGTTGTACAGAAGCCAACGATATTATAATATAGGTGTTACTTTTTTACACGTTGTATTAGTTTTTACAGTATTTTTCACAGTGAATGTCGCGTCGCAAACATAATAATATTATGAAAAACACCTGTTGGTTATGATTTTACAAAAACAACATTTTATAGTTTTGCCTACGTTCTATTATTTGCCTGATTTAAATTCGGAGGATCGTTTGCTTCGCTTGTAAAATTGTTTTTTTTTTTTTGGTATAGCTGAAGAATGTTCTAACAGGGGATGAGAAATCCACGCGGATCAGGGAAAGATACAATTGAGCTAGCAATGGAATCAACTTGCTTTTTAGTGATCCCAGAGTTACCTGAGACCCAAAGAAACTGCACTACTTTAAAAGAAAAGGAAATACGGGACAAGAGAGATGTAATAATCTAGGAAAATAATTTAGAGCTAAATGCAGAGGTGGATTTTTTACGGCTACAGTCCCTATAAATTTGCCTCCCTTGTTACAAGTAATCCAAAGGACGGGGGATTGAGCAGACTTATCCCCCCCCCCCCCCAAACCAAAATAACTCCTCTAAAATATTGAAAATATCAAATGTGATTTGAAATATTTAATTCATTACTTTAATGGACTAAGACATTTAAAAAGTTCAACCCTTCCCATTCAAATTTGAGAAAACACCTGCAAAATGTGTACATATTTTTCATCTTAAAATTATGGCACGCTAATTTTTTTTTTAAAAATAGTCGAATTACTTCCAAATTTGTATGGAATGTTTTTCTGATGAAGTACTATTGACATATCAGATAGGTATCTGTTAACAATCAACAATTCACTCGCAAATTGCAACCTAGAAACTTACAGCGGGCAAAGACTAAATTTCAATATTTTTGGGGTGTTATAAAATAAAAACATCTAACCCTTCTGTGGAAAATTGTTACAGTTACATAACTAATTCGACTATTTAAAAAACAGTTATTGAGCGCTGTGATTTTAAGTACACTTTGAAGTATAGTACATATAGTCGATACAATGTGTTTTCACATAGTTTTTTTTTACTCCGTTCCTTTCATTGAATTAATCAAATTAAAAAACAAAAGCTCACAGAGCCTCTATACCCTAAATGTTGTGATCAAATTACATTGCCATTTACTTTGAACTTTTACTCTTCATTGTATACTTATTCGAGGCCTTTTCCTAACACTTGTTTTAAATTTGTTTGACCTAGTTTTTTTTGTACCATACCAATACACGTCGTTTTAACGCGGGAACTATATTCTGTTCGATTTGTTTCTACTTTTCCAAATATCATTGCTGTACGAGTTTTGTCTACAGGCTACATGCCTACATGGATTAGATCTATGAAGGAATATTATACTGACCTAGATTTCGATGCTTGTGTTCTAGATTTTTTTACAGAAACGTTAACATGTGGTATTCACTGTCGGGTGTTGCCATCGCCAATACCATTTGTTTTTAAAGGTATTCAATTGAAATTGACAAATTTCTTTGCCAATTTCTCGACCTTCCTCATACCGCGACCGAAGAAATCACTGTACGTAGTCGTTTGATGTCGCTTATTGTCGTCTTTTAGCTAGTGTTCATGGATAAACTTCCATTTGACTTCCAGTACAGTGTTTTTGTCACCATTGCCGTATAGGCGTAGGCAGACCAGTGATGCCATTTCAGTTTTCGAAAGGGAAGGCAAAAATTTTGACCGGTCTTACCTAACCTAACCGCCTAACTTAGGCGCCGTTAGGTATTAAATAGTGCTAACATTTGTTTCGCTTATTGCATTTAAGGATTTGGGTGCCTACAAAATCCATTAATGAGTTAATTACAAAGCAGCACAATAAAAAAAAACTCTACCTTAAGAAATGCGACAACTCTAAGATACAGAGAGCTTGACCAAAAAGTACAAACATCTTGTAAATTTCCGATTTTAAAAATTGAACTTGGAGTCGCTTGTTACAATTTATCATAATCAAATCCATTTAAAAAAAACGTTGTTTTTTTATTCAACCCAAATTAATTTATTTTATAATTATAATTATAATTTAATACAATAATTGTGATGACAATAATAATTATAATGTATATAAATGTGCAAATATAATTTTTGTGCGTGTAAGTGAAGATACTTTAAAATATATATACTTATTTAATGATATAACAATAAATGAAACAAAACGGATATCATATTGCTTACACAGATTGTTTAGTGGTTTTTTAATCTAATATTTCCATTCGGCCGCGAAGGAAGTCCACTAGATCAACTTTTTGTATTGAGCAAACACAATACACAACGTTCGTGAACTTCTTAAATTCTGTCGAATCTAAAAAACAAAGTGAAAAATTGATTTGTCATAAGCAACAAAACTATTTAAATAGAATACACTGACCAACGCCAATCCAATCGTACGTTGTCTTTTAATGTTTAGTATAAAAATGCATAATATTGTTTTAATTGCATATTAATTATTGTTCGAATAATACAAATAATTTAGCTGTTTAGCTTATAATAAATATTTATTTTAAAAATTAATTTTGAATGATACACAAAGTATATTTAACAGCTACCTGTTTCTTGTGGAGCTGATTCCGCTGGCCAATTGTCATTTACACATGTTGAATTACCGTCGTCTTTACCCACAAAATCTAAAAGATCGGACCGACTAAGACGATCATCACCATCCCTAGTGTCATAACGGGCATAAGCGAGACGGTAAGCGTCTCTTATAAGCTGAAATGTTTTATCACCAATTTTATTCCATAAAAATCTAGTTATAAAATTTAATTTTATATACACTACTAGAGTACAATATATAACAACAAATTTTAGGCATGGGAGCTATAGCATGATAGTGTAAAATGTTGGCTTGGTAACGTTTTCAATCACAAAATGATACAACGTATGTAATTGTAATATGTGTGCATGTAAATGGAGGTATTCAACAAAATGATTAATCTGTATATATAAGAAGTCCCTTGACTCATTCATAATCACCGCACAGCCTAAACTATGATAGCTAGCGACTTGAAATTTTCAGGGTATGTTTGTATTATAGTCTAGGCGTGCAGTGAGAAAGGATTTTGAATCATTTTTATTTCAAGGGGTTGAAAAGGGCGAAAAACAAAATGAATGTCTGTTTGTTTGTCTGCCCTTATTTATGCATTAGTACACCATTCAACCGATCGCCATGAAACTTTGGAAAATTGTTGAGTACATTCCCGCGAATGCTTCTGGCATGGTACTTTTTGAAAGTTCCACCCCTAAGGGTGGCCTCAAACGCGAATTTTGTACTATAAACACTTGGTTTGTAACCATGGTAACCGCGGTACTCGAGCGAATGGTAGGCGATGATTAAAGGAACAGGCTGATTCTATGTACCACGATTCTTGGGACGCTATTAAACATTTTCAACGATTAGAACCGGATCTGGGACTGGGATTGGGACCCTTGATTAAGAGGGGACATATCAATATAATGTAATGTATATCCAAAAAAAGCCGAGATGGGGTATGCTAAAGCTTTACAATATACCCTGAAAATTTCAAGTCGCTAGCTATCATAGTTTAGGCTGTGCGTTGATTATGAATCAGTCAGGATTTCTTATTTTATGTATATATATTTAAGATTTAGTGTTGTTACGTTTTAAGAAACACAACAGACCTGCAAGAGCTCGAAGAAAACAATTGAATGTAGATAATATACATATTTTTTTTTTTCAAGGGTTTTTTTTATGATTGATAACGCTTTATTTTAAACGTTATTTTGGGTGATTTACAATTAAAAAAGACATTGCTTCCTCAGTGAATTACACCCAAACGGAGTTGAATAAACACAATTATTATTCCGGTCAACGCCGGGTAATTCAGCTAGTGTCTTATAAAGATTTATCTACATAAAAAAAAAAAACACTTATCTACTTATAATGCCATTTATACAAAACAAAACTAATGCGATATTATATCTATAGCTAGATTACCTTAGCTGCTGCTATCCTGTCTTCAAGGAATTTGTTTACAGCTAGTTGTCGTTCGGCGCAAATCCGATACACAATGCCCGCAAATTGCTCCAAATATATCATATCTAAAAAAGGAAAAATGTATTTTTTTATTTAAAAATTATTCATGTATTTTTTTTTTTCAGGATATACAAAGCAGCAATGAAATCTTTTAAAATAGGTAACTACGGAACAAAAAATATTTCTTAGGAACCCCCAATGTACAAAATCTAAAACACGTGTTTAAACCAAACTAAATTTGATCCAAAAAAAAACGGTTGGTACGAGGGGAGGACGTGAAAAATAGGATAAATTGTTGATGAGTAAAGTGGAGGGGAGCTGCGGGTGTTTTGTGTGACAGGAGGATGCCTATTAAATTGAATGTTAAATAACATAGGACAGGGTCAGTGAGGCCAGCAATGTTATGTGGGACGAAATGTTGGACAGTAGACAAGAAAACTGAACAGAGAACGAGCGTAGCGAAGTTGAGAATGCTAAGACGGATGAGTGGAGTGACTAGGGACGATAGAATAAGAAATCACTACACGAGGGGCAGTCTAACAGTTGCATGAATTGTGGAAAAGACGAGAGAGAGAATAAGTTGAGATGGTTCGGCCATGTTATGAGGAGAGATGCGACAGAGGCTGTGTTATGAAAATTAACGCAGAGGGAAGGAGAGAAAGAGGAAGACCGAAGAAAATATGGATAAACGGAATGGAAAATGATATGATGATGATGGCTGTGGGTAATTGAACGAGATGTAGAAAATCGAGCTCTACGAAGGTGTAGGAAAGTGTATAAGGAAGAAGAATAATATGTTTTTAAACTGAAAATAACAACTCTTCAAGTACTTCAACGTTGATCTTTATGCTCTAACACCTTATTTCAAACGAAACAAAGTGTTTTTTTAACAAGTTTTGTTTTTGTACCACCGTTAATATATTTTTAGTTGGTTCAAAAATCGAAATAGCGCTTTCCCTCGATATTGGGTAGATCTTTGATAAACTATTTAAATATAACCGGTTCTTTGAGTTATAACATTCAATTTACATGACGGTTTATTTTAAATATTTATTTACAAATTAATGTTAATCAAGTAATTTAATTAATACGTTAGTTTTTAATTATTCAATCATTTAAAATGAGCCAAAAAAGCAAATTGGATACACCAATTAAAAAATCAACATCAAATAAGGAAGTTACTTTGGAAGACTTATGGGATTTAATTAATGCAAATAAGTCATCAAATGATACGGCATTTAAAGACCTCAACAGGAAACTAGTAAGTTTAGAAACTGGCTTAGCCAACTTTAAATCTACTATTAATAATCTTACTTCTGAACTTACTAGAATTAAAGAGGTTAACAAAAAATTAGAGTCTAATATACAAGTACTTAATGATAAAGTTATACTTCTCGAAAGCAAACAAATAGCACCACATGATATGGTTTTAAACGTTATGCACGAAGCTCAAGAAAGATTATCGAAAGAAAAAAATGTCATTCTCTTTAATGTTCCGGAGAATCCAAATGAAGATCAATCTACAACAAACTGCATAATAAATGAAATATTCCATGCGATGAAGGTAGATAATTACTCAGTAATAAATAGAAGATTGGGTAAATTTACTGATAAGCCACGCCCTATACTAGTTGAATTAAATAGAAAAGAAAATGTCATAGAAGTCTTGAAAATGAAAAGAAATATTCGGTTAAATGAAAAATGGAAAAATGTATTTATTCATGTGGATTCTACCAGTATTCAAAGAAGCGTCATGAAAAACATACGTGAGGAACTGAGGATAAAGCGTTCAAATGGAGATAACTCATGGATAATCAAGTACACCAAAGGAGAACCATCACTGTTTCAAAAAAACTAACTTGGACCCACAGAAATATAAATAATGTAAATAATCTTAATTATAATAATAGTTTTAACAATATTGGAAAGTAATAAGTCTTATAATTTTAGCAGCATTAGTGTGATGAATAAATTCACAGGTTATTTCCAAAATGTAAGAGGTTTAAGAACTAAATTGAATTTACTGCGGTGTAATATCTCCATGAAATTAACTTTGATTATCTAGCACTCGTTGAAACTTGGTTACACAGTGATATTAACGGCAATGAACTGGGTTTTCATAACTACAATGTGTATCGCGCTGATAGAAACTGTAATACTAGCTCATTAAGTAGAGGTGGAGGGGTTGCTATCTGTGTCCATAACAAATATTATACTTCACTAATGCCGGTTCCAATGAACTCAGTTGAACATTTATTCGTTCTAGTAAAATTCCCTAATAATGACCAAATTGTTATTGGTAACTGCTGTATTCCGCCGGCCAGCCCGACCAGCTGTTATGAAAACAATATTCGCGCTATTGAATACGTCATATCTAAGGTCAGTGATAATACTCGTTTTATCTTAGTAGGTGACTATAACTTACCAAATGTACGCATCGCCAGTGTCTATAATGGACTAAATTCTGTAGGGAATCATACAGATCAATCGGAATTAATAGTAAATCAATTTTCTTTCTTTGGATTTTATCAACTAAACAGTTTTTGTAACAAATATGGTTCTCAGCTAGATTTAATATTTACGAATGATAACACTTTAATTGTCGAAATAGGTGACATCCATCTAGTACCAATGGACGAATATCATCCAATTTTATATTTAAGTAGTTTTGTAAATAAAAATGGAATAGTAAGTAAATCTTTACTAATCGAACGCTTTAATTACATGAAAGCTGATTATAATGAAATTACGAAAGCTTTAAACTTAATAGATTGGAAAAATTTATTTCTAGATAAATGTATTGATACTGCGATAAATGATTTTTATTTAATCCTAAATAATATAATACATAAATATGTTCCAAAATATCACATTAGTACTAATAAATTTCCCGATTGGTTCAGTAGTGAATTGCGGAAATTAATATTTGGAAAAATAAAGCCCAACGTTAATTTTAAAATAACCAAATGCCCTACTGATTACTTAACTTTTTCTAAATTAAGAGCTCAATGTAAAAAAATCACTAAAAACTGCTACAATAACTACATAATCCATACACAAAATCACCTTAAAACCAATCCACGTTATTTTTGGAAGTTCATTAAAAATAAGAAAAATAAAATTGAAATACCCGCAATAATGAATTTAAATAATAAACAGGCTGCAGATCCAGAATCAATTGCTGAGTTATTTAAAAGTTATTTTTCATCTGTTTATGCCCTACCGCGTACACAAATAAAATGACAATTCTGCAGTTGTAATCAATCATATATCCGAGTGCACATTTTCAATAGCTGAAATCTTTAGTAACCCAGAAAATCTAGGTAATGATCCATTACCAGGTCCTGACTCTATTCCAGCTGTATTTTTCAAAAATTGTCGTTATGCTTTAACGTACCCTATTTTCAAACTATTTAATTGGTCTTTACGATCAGGCGTTTTTCCTAAAATGTGGAAAGTTAGCATTATTTCTCCTATTTGGAAGTCTGGAGATCGTTCTTCAGTTATTAACTACAGACCCATCTCTAAGCTGAGTACATTACCAAAATTATTAGAAAAACTAATAGAACCCAAAATTTCAAAATTAGTTGGTCATAGCTTAGTAAGCGAACAACATGGATTTCGTCATAAAAGATCTATTGAAACAAACCTTGTCTCATTTTATCAATATCTAACAGAAAATGTTGCCTCAAATTTACAAATCGATACTATTTATACTGATATCAAAAAAGCGTTTGACACAGTTGACCATGGCGTATTGATATATAAACTTAAAAATTCAGCCTTAAGTACTAATCTAGTAAAATGGGTAACTTCTTATCTAACAAATAGAACTCAGTTAGTCAAAGTATCCAATACATTATCTAGTCCTATCACTGTAACATCTGGTGTACCCCAAGGAGGACGTTTATCACCTATCTTATTTTTAATTTTTATTAATGATTTAGCCCTAGTTTTTCAGCATTGCAAGTTTCTAATGTTTGCTGACGATCTAAAATTATTTATGGTGATAAAATCCCAAAATGATTGTATTAAATTGCAACAAGATTTAAATAGGTTTGTTGATTGGTGTAACAATAACGGTCTAGAAATCAATTCAAGTAAGTGCAAACAGATATCGTTTCATCGTCGCCGTTATCCAATAATAAATAATTATATAATAAATAATAGTAAATTAGAGATAGCTAGTAACATAAAAGATCTGGGTGTATCATTGTCATCTGATTTAAGTTTTAAATCACACATTTCTACAATTTGTGCAAAAGCCTATAGAAACTTAGGTTTTATTCAGCGTAATTGTAGCGAGTTTAAGGATCTGAAATGTTTAACAGTACTCTATTCTGCCCTTGTTCGCTCTGGTTTAGAATTTGCGTCGATACTTTGGAACCCTAACCAAGTAGGCCTAATAGAAAAAATAGAAAAAATTCAAAGAAAATGTCTTCGTTTTGCTGCTTTTAAAATCAACATGTCAGGTCAACCTATAGTTAATGTTGAACACCAATGTAACTTAGATTCTTTGAAATCTAGACGTTTATATAATGATGCGTATTACATTTTTCAAATCTTAAATGGTTTTGTCGATAGCCCGGAATTACTTAATAAAATTAATTTAGTTGTGCCTTACGTTAATACACGGCACCATAACATTTTTTATGTTGAAAATCAAACTAAAAGCTATGCTATTAATAGTTCATTAAATAGAATGTTAAATGTTTATAATAAATTAAATAATTTTGATTTTTTCTATGATAATTGTTTTAAATTAAAATTGTCCATCCAAAATGTATCTTTAAAAAAAAAAAAAAACATTATTTTTGTATTTTAGCTTATCTTATGTATTATATTGTATTAATTTAATTTTAGTTAAGTTTCACTGTACTCACTGCCCTCTGTGGGGCGTTAGCTTTTAAATAAATAAATGTTAAACGATACATTAAGTATATCCAATAGTTACCTTGTTTTTTTTGCGAAACTAAATTCACTGTCCAATATTCATTTACACAATGTACAGTTTTGTCATCATTACCCAAAAAATTTAAAATATCGGACTGAGTAGCATGTCTTGTTTCAACGTTGTAGTATTGATAAACGAATACAAAAGCCTCTTTTACAACCTGAAAAGTTTATTTCACCAATTAAATTGTATTCCATAAAAATGTATTTATACAATTGTAATCTTTATACACTAGAGTACAATATTATGGAGTACACATTAAATAACATATCCTCATTATGGTAGTTATAAAAATTAGTGTAAATTTTGGGTCGGTAACGTTTTTAAACCCTAAATAATACTACGTATATTATATTATATAATTGTAATACTTGTGCGTGTAAGTGAAGATATTTAAAATTATCTTAAAAAAACCCAGTATGGCGGGGTCGGGGAATAGTGGGGTTGGAAAACAGTGGGGTCGTGGCAGAGTGAAGATGAAGATGTCACAGATTGAAATTGAATTTATCAGGCCAGCAAAGTGGGGACGGACATGTCACAAGTATACAAGAATATATTGCAATATTAATTTAAAAAAAAAATAAATATGATCTACATATAGCTAGATTACCTCAGCTGCTGCTACCATTTCATCAACGAACTTTTTTACTACAAAATGTCGTGCTTTGCAAATACAATACACAACTTCCGTAAACTCCTTCAAATCTATCTGAACTAAAAAACAAAATAAATAAAGTAGATTAAAAGATTAATCTAAAAATAACGTTTTTATGCGTCTTAAAAAGTATAAAATAACCTTCCGGGGGTCTTGATAACCAAATAGGACAGGTGAACTAGAAAAACGTGGGGCGCATCTTTCTACTTAGATATTAAAACCTAAGCTTTCATGCTAATGCATTAAGTTGTCTCTCATAATGCAGTCTCTCTAACCGAACGGATCAGAAAGTGATAGTATGCATTTTTATCGGAAATGAAATTTAATGGATTTCCGTGTTACTTGCCTTAAATTTCGTTACAAATTAAAAAGACTTAATTGCTATTCTCTCCAAAGTTTGTTTTATGTAGGTTGCTTCAATCCTTTTGTTAACTACCTACTTGCTTAACATTTAAAGTAATGTGAAGAAAGTTAGAGGTGGAATTTTCAACCTCTTGTGGATTAATAATGCATTGTCATCGAATTGTGAGCTACCCTGAAAGTTTCAGCCGGATAGCTAATCGGGATGTGCTCGAAATTTGAGTTGCAAGATTCCACCCGGAACGACAAACAAGATTGTGAGTTCATAAAAACGTTATAAATAAAAAATGATTCATGTATTTCCGTTTTGTCAATATAGAAAGCGAATGAACAGCAGTGAAATCTATTCAAATGATGATACATAATAACACATGACGGTCTACTTAACATATTTATTTAAAATCTAATGTTTAATGATACATCAAGTATTTTGTGGTTACTTTTGCTTTTTGGTAGATCCGGTCTCGCTACCCAATAATTTTTTATACATTGCAAATCGTCGTGTTTGCCCATAAAAATAAAAAAATCGAACTGTTTGAGATATTTTTTGTGTGTTACAAAACCGCCAGCGAGTTGTTTCAAATCGAAATAGTCATAAGCTAAATTAAAAGCGTTTTCTATAACCTGAAAAGTTGAATACACTGATTAAATTTTATTTCAAAACTAATACCATAGTTGTCTAGTTTATTCCATAAACACTAATTATAAAGTTTAATTTTGCATGGACTAGAGTACAATATAGAATTACTTAAAAAAAAACCGGTCAGTTATTTTACACATTAAAAATAAACTTTAAGACAATCTTTTTTTCAAAGTTTTAGTTGCCTGATGACGAAAAAAAAACATAATTGCAAAAATATTGTTATGGTTTTCGAACTTATTTAAAATGTTTAAACTGTAACAGCAGATAATAATAATATTATGTTATGACGGTTTTGTCTAATACACACAAATAAAATGAATATATATATTTTTTTTTAAACTTTTGGGCTAAAAAAATTATAACTTCATAGAAACAAATTACTGTTAAGTAATACACTGAACTTTGACCGGTTTGTAATAAACAATCGAGCAAAACACTGATAAAATACTTTTAGTTGCAAAATATTAGTCTAAATATAATATATAAAATATTACTTCTTTATCGGATAGATCCGATAGACAATTATCAACCATGATACAAGACAGTATCAAAATAGTGAATTTGAAGACCATTGTATCTAACAACTATGAACTGAACTTCAACTGAGCGACAAAGCGAATAATTGTTGGGTATACTTTTCATTTCATATAAAAAACTGAAGGAAAAAAAAATGTGAAATATTAAACAAATATACTACATTTGTTTGCTAAAAATCGATCAAACTATGACGTAAGACACTCATTTTCTCGGGAAATATAAATATTTAGAGAATTTATTTTTCCTAATATTAAAATTATTATTATAATAATAATTATTATTTTATCTTCAACCCTTATATGTAAAACAAGTATCGCATTTGGTTTTTTTGATATGGGAAAGTATGTTTTTAATTTCATAAATCTGTAGACAAAGTTAAAAAAAAAATATATTGGCGTTTGAATTTCCAAATTTTCATCAACGGGTCCTTGCTTATTAAGTTGAAAAGATTTGAACTTTTGGTCCATATTCATATTGGATTTTAAATATTTGAAAAACCGGATTTTTACCTACGGTCGGAAACCGTGACAGTTTATACTCGCCAATTGTTCACATATCTTATCAGTAGCAAACATTTACGACGAAATTCTTTTCTAACCTACCTACCCATTGACGGTATGATTATGATATCATATCTGTGGTGTTCGGGCAAAAGGGGGATTAGTGTAAAGTTGCAACTTTTGGAAAAATAAATTTGAAACTTTGAAAATTTACTAAGAAAAATGTTTTAGTCTATTTGGTATGGGAAAAAAACATACTTATTATTTAACTTATTTTCATACTGTATTTCTGTATTTGAAGAAAATTTTCTAATTAGTTTTGTTAACAAATTATAATAAACAACAAAAACAAAATGTTTTCTGAGTTATCCCTTTTTGCACATAAATTTGATTGACATAACCATTATCCCAAATTACATATCACATAACTTTAAAATAACACAATTTTTTTCGAAATTCAATAACACAACATAATACATATAGCTGTTTCTTTACTATTACCAAAAAATTCATTAAATACAAATTAAACTTTCTTCTTAACTCTTAATAATAAAAAAACAAATTAAAATAAATATTCAATCTTAAATATTACATTAAAATAACACAATTTTTTCAAAATATAGTTCCTTTACTATAACAAAATATAAAAAAAATATTAAATAATAGTTTTATTCAGTCTTCTTCGATTTCTTCATCAGCGAAATCGATTTCATCTCTTTGGGTTTTATCAGTCGATAAGTTGTTATAATAATCATGAAAAATCACAGGAAAAAACTGAAGTAATGGCAATAAGTCCTTTTTTTTGCTTCAGTTATTGGTAGTGATTTTATGTAAATTTGACGAGGAATAAATGAAGCACGAGCTTGTCCTCGTCCTAATAGTCGAATAGATTGAAATGGTTTTAAAATATCTAGGGTATCCTTGTATTGTAAAAGACCAAGAGCTGTTTTTGTGTATTGAAGCAATTTTGTCTTTTACTATTTCAATGTTTCCCCATAGTTGTTTTTTTACATTTTCAACCTTCAATGTAGTGTTGAATAATGCAGAATAATCGAAGAAATCATGTTGACACATTTGAATAACTTTAAATGGTTTTTTTTTTACCTGTCTGACGAACTAACTGTAGCCAATCATGTGAATGATAAATCGAAATGTTCGACATTTTTTATATTTTTTCAATTAAAGCGTGATCACTATCACACTCTATCCTTGTGTGACCAGCTAATAAAAATTTAATTTTATTATCATGCCCAAAAAAAGTGCTTGCAACCGGCAACGTGACCTGCGTTGTATATTCAGAAACCGGAAACGACCTGTGTCGTTTTGTTAATACATTAAAGTATTGTCAATATTGTGTTAATAAATTACCTAATTGTGACTAAATGTTGTATTGCTCTACAATGTACGACGAACACTAATAAACAGACTTATGTAAAAGTCAAATAGTTTTGAGACCATGGTGAATAATCCATCATTAGACCCTATAAAATATGATTATATATCTGAAAATATAAATATTTATTTATTTTTTATCGATTTGGATTTTCTAACTTTTATGTGCCTTTTATGCGTGACGCCCTGTACATAATACCTGCCTGCTCCCCCTGCTAGAAGTATAAGAAACAAATAATTTTCAAAATAATTATATTTTCCGAGAAAATGAGTGTCTTACATCAGATGGATTGCTCTACATAGAGTTGCGACACGAGAAATCGGTTCAGTGGCTTAGAAGATATCGTAGGTACAGACACAAAAAAAAAAAAAAACACATCATTGAAAAAACATCACTTTATCAGCTCCGCACCGAATTATAAATCATTTTTCACATTAATTGTTTGTATAGTTAAGTTTTACCGTAAACAACGACACGTTTGTAAAAAAAACTATACATGTATAAGCAACAAAATAATATTCAAATATATTTTTTAGAGAGAGTTCGTCGATTTTATTTTTACTATCTATAAAGTCTATTGGGATTATATCGCCGTACCCCTCAAACAATGAACATGTTATCGTAAGCAGTAATAGGTAAATAATTAGTCAAACAATTTCTATATAGGTATTGTTGTTATAAAATGTAATCAGTAATAGACAATCAGTCATTTAAAACAATGTGCCGACTGCCTTCCACATTACAAAATACTAGTGACGCGTGTGATATTGATGAATTTCGATCCGTCATTAATAAAAGTACTACACAATAATAATTAGCCTTATAATCATGTTTTTATTTTCGGTTGTCACGGTGTTTTTGGAGTTCGCTTTGTTGTATTTGAATCCGACCCAGGCTGGTTTACGGGTCTTAGCCGTGCACACGATGGCGGCAAAAAGTCATTGGAATTTCATGAACGGATTTTTGCATTCGCTGACCGACGCCGGGCATAACGTTACGGTTTTCACTTGGTTTCCAGAAGGCCAACGAGAAAACTATACAGAACATGTTTTTAAGGGACCAAAGCGTTTAGACATGGATTTAGTTGAATTTAAAGAGCAGCTAAAACCTCCCAATAACCTACTCAGACACGTTATACACCGTAACAGAAGAGCATGTGATATTACGTTTTCAAATTCTAAAATAGAAGCCATCATGACTGCGGGCAACACTGAACACTTTGATGTCATCGTCGCCGAAACATTAGTTTCAGATTGCATGTCACAATTGGTTCGTCGTCTCCGTCTACCTTTAATTTACCTCTTTCCTTCACCAATGCCGACTTACTTGGAGGCGTCGTTTCTGGGTGAAGATCCAAACCCTGCGTGTGTGTCAAATTTCATGTTGTCATTCGGCTACCCAAAGACATTCCATCAACGATTGCTCAACTATCTCACCTACAAATACAGCAGAATTATGTTGTGGTATTTTGAAACAAGAGCCATGAAGTCCAACCCTAGACCGTACGACTATATAGAACCGGTCGTACCGTCCTTGGTGTTTGCAAACAGCCATTTCATCGTCGAACCGGCCAGACCCATGCCACCCAATTTCATAGAAATCGGCGGCATTCACCTTCCCGAACCAAATACAATACCGGATGTAAGTCATAAATAATCATTAAACATATATAAAGGTACTTATAAATTATATTTATCTACAAAAAAATATACAAATCGGACGTTGTGAGAAAGGACACAAATCTAAAATCCCTAGTTTTAAGGCCACGACAACCGTTAAAAAAAAATTGTATTTTACTAAATCTGTATAAACATTTTTCACTAATTATTTAATTAATTTTGATTAAAATTAGAAAGTTTGAAATCTAATAAAAATAAATACTATAAATCACTATTTTTACCCTTAATTGTTTGTAAAAAATGCTTACTATTTTTCATTCAATTCAAGCACTACAACGATAAGTTAAACTACATTTATTTAATCACCAAAAATTGTAAATTTCAATTTATGATTCACAAACGAACAGTACTTGTGTATTATCATTGTTAATCTATATTAAAAATAAGACAGTTTCGGTTGAATACCCTAATTATATATTTTGTATCTACATATCAGCCACATACATAAAACCCTTAACCATACAAATTGAAATATAAATTTATTTATTATAATGTTGTTTCCACATTTACAATGTTACACATTTTATTCATTTGACTTAACACCTGTCACCCTCCCTCTTCCCCTTGAGCCGAGCATGTGGACAACGCCTGTTTTACAATTATACGCCTTCACTTTTGCGTTATACTTTACAAGTAGATACTACTATAATAGTAATAGCTTTAATACTCTCACAAAATTAATCGATTAAAATATCTCCTTCAGGACATACGAGAGTTCATTGAAAATTCACCAAATGGAGTTATTTACTTCACATTTGGATCGACAATAAAAATGTCATCATTTCCAGACCATATTAAAACCGCATTTAAACTAGCTCTTGCGCGCCTCCCCCAGAGGATACTGTGGAAATATGAGAGCGAAATGGAAGACAAACCGGACAACGTGATGACGAAAAAGTGGTTCCCTCAACGCGATATTCTCTGTAAGAATCAGTGAGGAGACGTTAAGTAATAATTTATATCTATTTCAAACCTGTAAAGGAATAAACTGATTTTTTCCTAGTGCACCCGAATATCAAGCTGTTTATCGGTCACGGTGGAATATCTGGCGTGTTTGAAGTAGTCGATGCCGGAGTTCCGATGTTAGGGTTTCCACTTCTCTATGATCAACCGAGAAACATTGCCAATCTGGTCGACGCCGGAATGGCCATTTCACTCGACGTGATGACCGTCACCGAAACACAGATATTCGAATCGATTAATAAATTAATCAACGATAAAAAGTAATACCTATAGTCAAATATATAATGCATATGACGCATAATAAGATGCACTATAAAAATGTACAGTTCAAGTCAATTTTTACTGACAATGAGAATGAAGTATAAAACGATACACATTGTTATGGTCTTAAACTCCTAAAAAATGCATATGTTAGGGGAATACAGGCAGAAACTAATAAATAAGTCGAAACAGTTTATAGGATTTTATAATAAGGTAAGAACATTTAGGTAATTTTCTTTGATAAAACATAAAGACTAAACTGAA